CGTTTCACTTCCCGCACTGCACTCCGCGTGGGTCAAAGGGCCAGCGCAGGCCTTTTATGGCTCGTCGCCAGCCATAGTGATTACGGCTTGGAGTCACGTCATGTAACGTCAGTGGGGGGGGGGGGGGGGGGGGGGGACATTGCTGGGGCTATGACCGGTGGTTGGCGATCACAGACCACCAAGCACCATTGCACTATTCCTGGATGAACTAGCCGCTCTTGAGGAAGAACAGGGTGCTTTGGGAAGAGCTATGGTGTCCGCTTTTTCACTAGTTCTAGCTGTCGCCACAGACATTTTGTCGAAAGGAGCAACATCTATGAATGAGTAGACGGCGCTGAATGGCCGCAAGGGGCCTCGCTTAAGACCGAGGGGGTCAAGATAGTCCCGTTTCAACACAGGTAACTCTTGGGGTATTGTACAACACAGGAAATAAAGGCCCACCAACCACATGGCTCCTACCGCCCTGTCAGCGTAGGGGTGAACGGAGCGTAGGGACGGCAGAGTATGGGGTCTGCTGAGTGCTTCTGGCGTAGCAGCTCGGCAGTGGTGAGTTACTAGAGCAAAGAATGCAATACTGCACTTTACTCTGAATGCTGCGAGCCATCGGAGGCAATCCAGTGTCAAAAGTGTGTCACGTGGCCTGTCCGTTGGGCGCAACGACACGTGGAGCACAGTGTTATCTGGCAGCGACAAAGAGTCGGGTTGGCTCCGGTGGCTCATATCGTCGGCTGCGGTACAACACAAGGTGAAACGGAGTAGAATGTGATGGCATGTCGCATCACAGGCGCCCCAGGGCGGGCGAGGAGAAACCTCCTCGCCCATCGATATATTGACAGGGGACCGGGGGTAGAAGGGCCTCTGGGGACTGGGCGGTGCCGAGAACAGGCAAGTCTGTGCGACCGGATTTCGGGTAATCGTGGGAGACGAGGCCTGGCGGCCCTCTTTGTGTTTAGCTTTGGCTTCACGTGCGAGTGCGAATATCGGTGTAATGTCGCATGTCTTTGCAGCTTAGATTGAGTGTTTTTGAGCATTGTGTTTTAGGAACAAATAAAGGGAGCAGAATTCTCGCTCCCGTGAAAGAACCAGGCTGGACTCTGTTTGCTTGACGGACCACGTGGGATCTGGTGTATCGGCGGCAGTACGCGATTTCCTACGATGTGTCCTTTAAGTTTCATATATTTCAGTCTTGCATTTTAACCAGTATTGTATGGCTTGTTGACACCATTGTTTAACATGTTATTTTTTCCTATGGTTGCATTTACAATTGCACTGTGTAATGCCCCTGGCTCCGAGGGTAAAATAAAGGAATAGAAACAAACCGATTACGATCTCCTCTTTCTGGATATGTACTGTATAGAGTGAGCACAGGCCCTGGACAAGCGTAAGTCCATTGCCACAGACTGAATGCCAGCAGAGCTGCCGATCTTCGCTTGTGTTTTGTCCCACGGTGGTGCACATTAGAGCACTGTGTGGGCCTACTTTTCGAGGCCACTCCCGGGCCTCCTGGCAACCCGTTCTGTTCGTCCTGACAACAAAGTGCGCTTAGCATACAAAAACCACTGTTACACTTGTTTGGACAAGATTGCAGCTTTAGCGGGCTGCTCGACTGCCATGTTGTGACAGCATCTTTTGAAAACGAGTTTCTTACGTAGGCTGCACGCAATTAGAGGGCTGGGAGGCATATTGAATCACATTTGTCCAATCTGTCTGCCAGAATGTGTGAAAGTAGAAAAGATAGCCCATCGCTCTTGGTAGAACAGCTCAACCTTGACCAAGGTTTACGGTAGGCCTGCGCAGTGCTCTAGATAGAACACATCTAATTTCTATCTCTTTTATCACAGCGTGGAGCTAAAAACTAGTGTGCCCTGCCAGCTGGTGACGGTGTGGTGACCATAGCTGGATGCCGGTACTTTGCTTGGCAGGACTTAACCGAGAAAAAGTTTTCGCCTTTTGCCAAGTTTCACTGAGGCACAGTATAGTTTGCTGCCTGATGCAATCGTAGAGCATGTATCCACCACTTAGAGCTACGTGAGACTGGTTTGATCAAAATAAGAATTATATATTGTCCTTTCAGAAATACAAAGTAGTAAACTTTATAACTTGCCATATACTTCTTTTCTTCTTTTAAGCTTTCTTTTTTGCAAACAACACCAACAGCCGGCATTGAATTAAAGTATGCCTAAAGTCGGGAAGCCTGCTTTTTTTCTCTGCTCTCTCTTCGGACCACCGGTATGCCGATAGTGCAAATAGTCGTAACCTGTTATAAAATAAGGTTTGTAAGTTGTGCGCATAATGATGGCATGCAGTTAGGTAATAAAAATAAGTGTCAGACGACACTTCACAAAGCAGAACAAAAAATTGCAATAAAATGCAGCAAAAAACAAAAGAAAACATTATGCCTTTGCCTAGAAGCGGAGGGGAGAGAGGAGCGACAATTTGAAGCCACTTTATGGTCGCTGTGTCATGTGATTCCAAGATGGCAGCGCCTATGCAACGGAGGGTGAAAAGATCTAGAATTTTAGAAGTAAATTGAAGGGATGGCATGAAACCATTGGGGCAGGGGTCTGCTCTGCTAGCTCGGATGCGACGGGGGCTCACCATCACTCTGATACAATCACTGTACCAAAGTGCTTGCCCTATTGTGCTGCACTCTACTTCATCAAAATAGAGAATTCGCACCACGGATGTGCTGAAAAATATATTTCCTCAATGCTCAAACTATTTGCTAAGGCTTCGTTATATTTTACTGTCTTATAGCAGATAGTTTTGGTTATTGCTTGATTTACTGAAGGTATAAAAACTTTTTGGGAAACTGCAGCAGCTGACCATGTGGTCACCCCTTCGCCAAAACGAGGGGTGACCTGCAGCCTGTTTGTAGCCCAAGCTACTGTTGCATTAGTAGCAGACTGCATTTGGAAGACAGTGTGACTGTAGCTAGCTTCAGTTGCTGCATTGGAATGTGCATCTATTGACATTAAATGACCATAGCAGACAGAACTTACTGTGCAGGGGGAGGCTGGTGTGGCGAGATCAGGTGAGTATGTGGGCTCTTTTGCAGTGCTTTTCAATGCGGCCGCAAAACATGAACATAGGGTTCTTAATAAAGACTGAAAGTAGATGGCAGATATTTTCTGGCACCTAATATTTTGACAAGCCTTGCACGAAAGGCTTTTCTTTTTCTTACCTGGAACATGGGGCTGAAGTATCCAACTGCCCGTGATGTCGCAAATGAAAAAGGATATCGCCAGAAAATCTCGGTGCTAATAGTCACTGAAAAGATGAGAAATGCAGGGCATCTCTAATGCCCAACCTCCAGCGAGGACTTGTCGCCTTTTCTCATGCTTTCCCTCTGCGTGGATTGTTGAGGCTTGCAAGATGCCAAAGCATTGCCAAATGTAGGAGCCTCCTCCCTGCCATTCTCGTCTTGCATTTGGTCCTCGAGGCACCACTCCAAGTTGGTACAAAAACATGTGATGGTCTACTGAACACCCGTAAACAATTCGGGCGATATGTTAGCTATTGTCGTTGACGGAATGCGAATGGCAGGGAGTGTCTTACAAACGTCCGGCCTCTATGCATTGACGAAGGTAGGAAACTCATGCTGGAGGCAGGGAACTGAGGTTTCTCCCAGCGTCCTCACCTCGTGAGCGACTTTTTAAAGTGGCAATGCTTGTCACGGGTGTGGAGCTGGGAAGAAAAGAAGAAAAAGAAGAGAAGAGAGGAAGAAGAGGATCGCGAGAAACGACGGGCAGGTGCGGGAGTTCGGACCCGTCGCTTGTTGAAGCCGGCAACGCTCCGACTACTGAAGCTTCACAGGAACCGGCTCCGCACCGGTTCCTGAGACCCCGGCCACGCTCCGGCTTCTGAAGCCTCACCGAAACCGGCCCCGCTCCGGTTCCCGAGAACCCGGCCACGCTCCGGCTCCTGAAGCCTCAACGTGACCGGCCCCGCTCCGGTTCCTGAGAGCCCAGCAACGCTCCGGTTCCTGAGAGCCCAGAAACGCTACAGTTCCTCAAGCCACGAAGAACCCGGCAACGCTCCTATTCCTGAGGCCACGACGAGCCCCGCCACGCTCCTGAAGCCCCGCCACGTCAGGCGTGAGTCGAGCTTTTGTGGGGACTTGACCACGGGGACTCCGGTCTGCTTTGAACTTTTCCTTTTCTTTCTTTATTGTTGATAACTACCTCCTGATTTCCTTTCATTATATTATTACGTATGTACATGCCTTTGTCTCACCTGGTCTTGTCTCAATCATTTCGCGTGTCGGACCGGGCGAACGTGACAATTGTGGCGAGCCTGCCAGGATCCCATTTACCATCAGTTTAATTGGATCACTTCGTCCGGGACACACACGAATTGCTAGAGTCAAAAAGACTAGCATGGAGAACGAGAAATTAATGGCGGTGGGAAAGGAGTTGGGTTATCAGGGAGATGAGTTGAAGAAATGGATGGAGGACGAAAAAGCTAGACTACGAGAAGAAAGAGCGTGGGCGCGACAGGAACGCGAGGAGGAATGTGTCCGGTTGGACAAAGAACGCGAAGTTCTGCAACTTCGGTTATCAGTACAAAGCGCAGGGGCGCCACGTCAGGATGCAATCCAAGGTATAGGTGAAGGAGAGGCTACTAACTTGGCCGCGACAACCGGCGAGGCGCGACGCTTTAGCCCTCATAAGTTAATTCCTCAGTTCGAAGAAGGAAGGGATGACTTAGATGCATATTTGCTACGCTTTGAACGTATTGCAACGGGAATGGGTTGGCCTCAGCAGAAATGGGCGACGACTCTGAGTTTGTGCCTCACTGGTGAAGCATTGACGGTAGTGGGTCGGTTGTCGCCAGAAGACGCACTGGATTATGCGAGAGTGAAGCTGGCACTGCTTCAAAGGTTTCGCTACACTAAAGAAGGGTATAGAGAACGGTTTAGGGATGCAAAGCACGAAGAGGGAGAGACGAGGAGACAGTTTGCTGCCCGTCTCGCTGGGTATTTTGACAGGTGGGTTGAGATGGCCAATATTCAACACACGTTTGAAGCCCTCCGTGACAAGGTCTTAGTCGAGCAGTTTCTGCTCACTTGCTCCACCAAGTTGACTATTTTTCTCCGAGAGAGAGAATGCCAAAGCTTGCAAGAAGTTGCGTCAAAGGCGGACCTTTTCCTAGAGGCCCAGGCCCAGCCTACTACGAGTAAGTCGAAAATCGACGAGACGAATAAGCAGTCTAGTGTGGCGTTAGCAGATAAGTCTAAAACAGGAGGGGGCAGGAAAGCTTTGCGTTGCTTTTTATGCAACAAAATTGGGCACAATGCGGAAAACTGTCATGGACGTCCGCCGGCCTCCAAAGGAATTACTTGCTGGCAATGCGGGAAAACTGGACACCGTGCAGATAGCTGCAGGTCAAAGCCTAACGACAATCATCAGGCGTCATGTCTTTGGACGAAATCAAGAAACGGAGAGGTGAGCGAGCCCGAAGATGGCTTTGTTACCCTCAAGAATGGTGACAAGATTCCGGTTGTCAACTCGGCAGTAGTACATCCTCCCAAGTTTCCAGTGGAGAATCTGCCAGTTGTAGAGGGAGGTATGGGTGGCCACAAAATAACTGTCCTCAGGGACACGGGCTGCAACACCGTCGTTGTTCGCCAAAGCTTGGTTCCGAAGGAAGCGTACACGGGAATATTGAGCCCGGTGTTTCTACTGGACAAAACAGTAAGGTACCTTCCCGAGGCCGAGATTATGGTTAGGACACCATACTACACGGGAAAGTTAACAGCGAAGTGTGTAAACGACTCTCTGTACGATCGGGTGTTGGGAAATGTGCCGCTTGTACGAGATGCCAATGACCCCGATCCAAACTGGAGTTTGAATATGAAAATAAGGGAAGCTCATATGTCGGCGACAGAGCCAGCCGATGAACAGAAGACCGGGACGGAAGGCGTCCTGGCGAAAGAGACACATGTGGAGTCTCTAGAACGCTCTGCTGACGAATCTTTACTCGAACGGGGCGATAAAGAGTTCATGGGCACCGCGGGGGCTGTGCAGACCAAGAAACCTACATGTCGACCCCCGCCATCACCTCCCGAACTGCGAGTACCTGAGGTACCACTGCTTCAAACAACTAAAGAGGAGCTCATCCAGGAGCAAAAGAATGACGAAACCCTGAAGAAATGCTTCCACGACGTTGGGAAAGTAACCAAGAAGCACAGGGGCAGAATGAAGTACGAGTTTTTCATTAGGAATGAGCTGTTGTACAGGAGCTGTACATACAGTTCCGGAAGAAAAACCGACCAGATGGTTCTCCCGAACACGTTTCGGCGAACTGTCACCGGGATGGCACATGACGGAATAATGTCAGGCCACCAGGGCGTGAGCAACACAATAGCACTAGTGTCTGAAGAGTTCTTTTGGCCGGGTGTCCAAAGCGACATTAAGAGGTACGTGCGGTCGTGTGACATTTGCCAACGGACGGTCCCCAAAGGGAGAGTAGGCAAGGCCCCCTTAGGTACCATGCCGACGATTGTAACTCCCTTTCAGAGGGTGGCCATTGACATCATTGGTCCGATTGCTCCCAAATCAGACTCGGGGAACCGATACATCTTAACCATGGTGGATGTGGCTACTCGATACCCCGACGCGGTAGCCTTGAAAACCATCGGGACTCCGCTAGTAGCGGAAGCTTTAGTTGACATGTTTACGCGATACGGCGTACCGAGGGAGGTCCTTAGTGACCGTGGTAGCGCGTTTACTTCCGACCTGATGAAGGAGGTGGGTCGCCTGCTGTCAGTGAGACGCCTTTTGACTACTCCCTATCATCCCATGAGCAACGGGTTGGTAGAGAAATTCAATGGAACTTTAAAGTTGATGCTACGTAGAATGTGTCAGGAGAGGCCCAAGGATTGGGACCGGTACCTGCCAGCGCTGTTGTTCGCTTACCGGGAGGTACCCCAGTCCAGTTTGAGATTCTCTCCATTCGAGTTGTTATATGGGAGAACGGTACGGGGGCCATTAACTATACTGAGAGAAGTGTGGTCCAACGAGGCGTTGAACGAGGAAACAAAAACGTCGTACAGCTACGTCATGGAACTGAGAGACAAACTGGAGGAGACCTGCAAACTGGCACACCAATGCTTGGATGAAGCCAAGGTAAAATACAAGGCGTATTATGATCGGAAGAAAGTCAACCGAGAAATGACGGTAGGGGATAAAGCACTAATCCTCCTTCCAAGCGACAATAACAAGTTGCTCATACAATGGAAGGGTCCCTTCATCGTCACGGCACGAAGAAATGAAGTTGACTATGAGCTGGAGATTGCAGGAACGAGAAAAGCCTTCCATGTAAATATGCTCAAAAAATATGAAGAGAGGACCGAAATGGACCCGGCGGCACCGAGGTGCAGCGCGGCAACAGCAACTGACGATGACAACAAAAACGACGAGGAAGACGCCATAGACGATGTCCCGACTCTGTCCCTGACACGACAACAAAACGGGCAAGACGTACTGGTGAATACGGCCCTGAGTACAGAGGAGAAGAAACAAGTTGCGACTTTGATTGGAGAATTCGAAGAAATCTTCTCTGATCTACCCGGAAAAACAAACTTGATTGAGTGCGATCTGAAGCTGACAACTGAGGCACCAGTGCATGTTAAACAGTACCCTCTGCCGATAAAGGTACACGAAACAGTGGAAAAGGAAATAACAGAGATGTTGCGGCTGGGAGTGATCGAGAGATCAACATCACCATTCAACGCGCCTATAGTATTAGTGAAGAATTCGGATGGGTCCAGCAGATTCTGCATTGACTTTAGGCGGCTAAATGACGTGTTGGTAGCCGATGGCAAGCCCATTCCCAGGGTAGATGTCACGTTTGCTAAAGTGGGATGTAAACGTTTCTTCACAAAGTTAGACTTAGCCAAAGGATATTGGCAGATTCCCATGACAGAATCATCGAAGCATAAAACAGCGTTCTCAGCTTTGAGCGGTCTGTATCATTTCAGATTCATGCCGTTCGGCTTAAAGACAGCTTCCGCGACTTTCACGAAGCTGATCCGGATCCTGCTAAGAGGCATACCGAATGCACACCACTATATCGATGATGTTCTGGTGGCAACGGACTCCTGGGAGGAGCACATATATGCACTAAAGGCTATATTCGGAAGGCTGCGCGATGCGGGGATCACAGTCACGCCAAAAAAGTGTGAAATTGGATTTCACGAAATCAGCTTTCTCGGCCACAGATTAGGATCAGGCCAAGTAGCCCCAAGACAGTAGATCCTGACGAAGATCCAAGAGGCGCAAAGGCCGACAACAAAACGACAGGTCAGGTCCTTCCTGGGTTTGACTGGATTCTACAGAGAATTCATTCCTAACTACGCAGAGGTGGCGTCTCCTCTGACAGTGTTGACCCAAAAGGGAACTCGCAACGAGGTGCAGTGGGACGACGAGCGGGAAAGGGCATTCAAGCGCCTGAAGGAGGAATTGTGTAAACCTCCCATCCTCATGGCTCTCGACCTAGACAAGGAATTTGTGCTACGTACAGGCGCATCAAGCGTCAGTTTGGGAGCAGTCCTTCTACAGGAAAAAGATAGCGTACTGCACCCTGTCGCGTACGCAAGCAGACGGTTCATCAGGGCGGAAAAGAATTATGCCACGATTGAAAGGGAATGCCTGGCACTAGTTTGGGCCGTTGAAAAGTTTGCACTATATTTATATGGAAAGCATTTCCGAGTGCAAACTGACCACCAGCCGTTGGAATTCTTAAATAAGGCTAAACACACCAATAGTCGAGTCATGCGATGGAGCATGAAGATGCAAGACTATAGTTTTCACGTCGAATACATTAAGGGGAAGGATAATGTAGGTGCAGACTACTTAAGTCGGATGTAAATAAGGAATTTAGACTTAGAATGCCCTCGTGCCTATTTTTTTTTTCTTGCTCGATAGCGCATGGGGTAATACGGGGATCGAGTTACTGCATGCTCTCTCCCTCCCCCCCTTTCTTCCTAATGGAGCCCAGAGTTTGTACAAGTTTCCGACAAAGGAATCCTCGAACCAAGACAAGGTTTATTTACCAGATTTGGTGGAGTAAAAAGATAAGTAGCTTAGATTTCGGTGATCCATGGTTTCGAAGTGAAAACATGGTTCTTTTTTTGAGGGGGGAAAAGGGACGCAATTTAATGTGAATTGAGTTTTATCTCGAAATGCTTCACGCATGATTTTTTTTTTTTGGTACTTTGCGCGCGAGCGTGAAATGAAGGAGCTGTGTTACATCGGGGGCGGTCAAGAGTGTAGACTGGTGCTGCGCGTGCAAGTGCTACGAGAACGGATGCGGTCTTTGCCAAGGCTCGAGATCGCCCAGGCCAAGAGTGAGTGCTGCGCAAGTGCCGGCGGGAATTACTGTCAGTCCGAGACTTTACCAATGGACTTCAAGATTGACGGTGTAGAAGAAGTTCAACGATGAACTTCTCAAAGTTGGGGGGCATTGTCACGGGTGTGGAGCTGGGAAGAAAAGAAGAAAAAGAAGAGAAGAGAGGAAGAAGAGGATCGCGAGAAACGACGGGCAGGGGCGGGAGTTCGGACCCGTCGCTTGTTGAAGCCGGCAACGCTCCGGCTACTGAAGCTTCACAGAAACCGGCTCCGCTCCGGTTCCTGAGACCCCGGCCACGCTCCGGCTTCTGAAGCCTCACCGAAGCCGGCCCCGCTCCGGTTCCCGAGAACCCGGCCACGCTCCGGCTCCTGAAGCCTCAACGTGACCGGCCCCGCTCCGGTTCCTGAGAGCCCAGCAACGCTCCGGTTCCTGAGAGCCCAGAAACGCTACAGTTCCTCAAGCCACGAAGAACCCGGCAACGCTCCGATTCCTGAGGCCACGACGAGCCCCGCCACGCTCCTGAAGCCCCGCCACGTCAGGCGTGAGTCGAGCTTTTGTGGGGACTTGACCACGGGGACTCCGGTCTGCTTTGAACTTTTCCTTTTCTTTCTTTATTGTTGATAACTACCTCCTGATTTTCTTTCATTATATCATTACGTATGTACATGCCTTTGTCTCACCTGGTCTTGTCTCAATCATTTCGCGTGTCGGACCGGGCGAACGTGACAGTGCTACACCATGCAATAAATGTTTTTACGAAACCAATTTGTGATTGATCTTATCAAAAGCATGTTATAAATCTGAATAAATTTTATGAACTTTCTTCCGTCAACAACAAATGGTGCTGTGTATTCAAATTTACATAAAATAGTTTTTCCTGAGCAACCTTCGAAAACATATTGCATTGAATAGTGCTTTAACTGGAGTAAAAAGACCATGTCTGTGTATAACTATCTAGACACTTTCAAACTAGCATACAGTAAGGAAACTGGGTAATGACTCTACCCTATACATGTCACCAGCGTCCTTTACTTGTACTACGAGACCTCTTCCAGCACAATGGAAGATCATGATTTCTCGGAGATGAAATGTATGCTCGAATAAAGGGGCAAACAAATCAGTGCCGCCCTTAAAGGGGCCCTGCAATAATATTTAAACGTCTATCTTTTTTGCGGTTTCCACGTCCCTCGGGGTTCGGGCAAGCCAGCCAGCACGGAGAGAGTAATTAAATACGAGTCCGTCATATTTTAACCGGACGACGCGGAAACCTCCTCCACCTACGGGGGCGACCTACGGTGCCTAAAGCGCGCGAAATGTGACGTTTTGGTCCTGGCCTTCCTACTGGCCAGAGCCGCTAAGAGCTTTTTTTTGGTCGAAATACAAAATATAAGTGGCGCGAACCGTTTCAATTATTTATAAAAGTAGTTTTTGTTCACTAGTTTAGATCAGAAAAGATACAAATGCAGTTTATAAAGTACGGAAACAAGAAATGACCCGTCGACATACACGCCACCAAGCGGTGGAAGAGGCGGCGCGGGCGCGCGGGCTCCTTCGCGGATCCCAGCAGACGACGCACGACGCCGGCGGCGCATTTTGCGAGAAACCAAAGTACGAATTTGTCTCCCGTGGTCTCGCGCTGTGCGGCAAGTTCCAGATTCCTGATACATCGAGGATAAGTGCGGTTGACGGTGCAGCGTTCAAAAGAACTTTACTGCTTGCCTGTAGATGCCCTCGCAGTTTACAGGGATTATGTTTTCTGCAGAAAAATGACAATTGCACTTTCGGTTCCGGCGCCCTAAGGATGAAGTGCCTCACAAAAGGCTGCGGGCGGGTGCTCCGTAAAGGTGATGCCAGCGTCACATTTCATCGCGTGCCTACCAAGGAGCCACTACGAAGTCACTGGCTGGAGGCACTTGGAATGAGCAGCGACACCCGCCTACCGGGAGTCGAACGTGTGTGCTCCGACCATTTCTCGGCGGAGTCGTACTTGTCGTGGGACGTCTCCAAGAAAATGGGCTTTGAGCTAAAACGTAAGCGCCTGAGCGACGATTCGGTCCCGTCACTTCACATGGGCGCCGCACCTACTGCAGTGGGCAAGCGGCGCAGGACGGTGAATAACCAATTTATACGCCGATAGTTTTCACTAGTTCTAGAACGCGAGCACTTTTTTTGTGCAAGCTGCTCCGCTGTGACTTACACAGTCATTGCAATCATTGCTGCTCGTGAGCCGTGGAAGTCTTTAGAAACGGAGCGCAAGTTCGTCTGCTTCTTGCACAGCTGTTGCGGTAGCGTCAGAATCACGAGCTCTTATTGGCCAATTGAAAAAAAAAATAAAAAAAATAGTAAACCAGTGGCGTATCCAGGAATGCGGGGGGGGGGGGGGGGGGGGGTTGAGGTGGCTTGGATGTCCACTACTTGGGGTACGCAGGAGGGGTGGGGGTTCAAAATGCAGGTGTATATTATAGGGTCGGCTAAATTTGGAAAAAAGCCCGCCCGCCCCCCCCCCCCCCCCCCTCCCTCCCTACCACCCACCCTCGGGTGGCACTCAGTATCAGGGCTACCCACTATTCTTTTATATTCAATCAGAGCTTGGTGTCGTTCTGACTTCACCACAACTCCTGTGCAAGAAGCAGACAACTTTCTCTTGGCATATGCATCTTGTCACGATAATTGACACTCGATGGATCTTACTTTGGCGACCTGTTCATAAAATGTCTACCCGTCGAGTGTGATTTTTGCAATCACTTAAAGATATCACCTTGAAGTTGACAACGTTGGATGGTACCTCAACATCCTTGTCCAGCTGTATACAATTGATCTCTGAACCCATGGAAAAAGAGTTGGTCATACCTGCAGCTTTTGAATTGTTCATATGTTTTCCATCTAGATCATGTGTTCTGTATGACCACACCATCTTAGTTACAAATATTAATGCCAAGATGAAAATTCTTCCATAGGATGATCCAGAAACACCGGCAACATGCAAGGATGACATGAGAACAGATCATGGTCCAGAACACACCATTGTAAGTAGTGGTTGGTAGCTAAATACTATCAGCACTAAATGTACCGCAGGCTTAATTACTACTTCGATGTCACATGGATACCAGAGCAGTCATGTATCCCAAAGGGGGGGGGGGGGGATGGTGCACAGATATCACCTTCAAGTTAACAATTTCAAATGGTACCTTAACATCCTTGTCCAGCTGTATACAATTGATCACAAAAGCCATGGAAAAAGAGTTGGTCATGCCTGAAGCTTTTGATTTGTTCATATGTTTTCCATCTGGATCATGTGTTCTGT